ATGAACTTTATTAAAAGCCCTAAGACCTGAGGAGACTATTCTCACAACATGAAAAGACAAATTACTGAACCTACTCGCTAAAGTGCAATACCTCTAAAATTTAAGTAGTATTTCCTTTTTTAAACCTACTTCTTTAACACACCTATCTTTCACACAGAATCAGTATCAGTATTTCATCGCAGATGAAATTCCAGTTTTTTAGGTATGGTAGTTGGCACTGTAATCAGAAGCCTGTAAACAGTAAGTTGAAACCTAGACAGTAATTCAGATAGCCTGATAAAAAAAGGAATGCTTGGAGTCATTAATCTTCAAAAGTCAGATTAATTTAGAAGAAAATCAAAGTAAAAGTGACATGTTCTTAAAGTTTCATTTCTAGCACTGATTGCAGCATTATCATGCATAAGCTTGAAATGTGGTATTTATCATCAGTCTTAACTGGGAAAGAGACATAAGAAAATCTGGATTTAGAATAGTGACAAGACTCATAAAAAGATGCTCAAAGACAAAGACTGGGACAGAAGACAACTTGATTTCCACTACAGTAACAATACAAAAACAAGGGAGCAAACAAGACGAAACTCCATTCAGTATTTACGCTAGAAAACACGAGATATACTTGGTGCAACTCTACAACAAAAATAAGCCGAAACAGCACAAAATGAAAATGTAGGGCAGAATACAATCTGACCAGTAAGACTGAAGTCTGCATCCTGTGAAAATAACTCTAGCATAGCACAGCAGTGAAATAGCAGAATTGTGTCGGTCACTTTAAAATTGGCTTTTTCAGTCAGAGGACAAGAGGTAATTGGTCAAACTGCAAGTTTAAGGAACAGTCTTTTCTGCCTTTGTGATCAAGCAGGGCTGCTCCTTCAGATGTGCTGGAGATGGGCTGTAGTGGGAAGTGAACCAGGGTATTCCTAAAATACCCTAAAAGAAGCCTGTATTTTAAATAACTTTTATTTTAAAATTTTACTGGGATACAATCAGTTATCAAGATCCTGACATTGACCCCTGGACAGGCCACATTAAGAGAGTAAGACCCTAAGGCATGATGCTGAAACCCTGGTATTATGAGGTCATTTCTTCACAGAAGCTCTCCTGAGCAGAACATACCAGTGTTTCTGGCTAGTCTATCACTGAATTTGGAAAGAATGCCTCCCCAGCAGCAGGGCTGGGTCAAGCATCTCCTTAATCTCCTCACCTAATTCCCACCCCAGTCCTTATCAAACCACCACTGTGTCACCACAAGAATAAATAAGGCTGCATGGAGAACAAACCAGGAAAAAAGTAACCCAGAAAAGACAAACAAAATAAATAAAAAATGAAAGCAGCAGAGGGTATGATTACAGCTGGATCAGAACTTAACTCTTTCTTAGCATGACAAATGAACAAGGACAACATATGCAGAACAGTAACACCTCAAGCCTGTAACTGCAGTTGAGAACTTAACCAAGAAAAAGCAATGCATATGTTTTAGCATTAAGTATATTTTAAAATCAACTGTACAAGGATGCCTCATGGAATACACATACAAATATTTACTGCTGGATGTTAAGTGCAATCAGACAACACTGGGTAATACCCAAGGTAGCAGTAAGTGACTTGCCCCTTTGTCCCTTATCTTTCCCAGGTCTGTTTCTGAGGGACATAAAAACATCACCACTAAATCTAAACTAAATCTACACAGTGATAAAACACAACTGGAGCTGCTCCTCTTTGGTCTTACCTAACAGAGCCTTGAGAAGTCTGAACTGATGCAAATGCATCTATTTATATCAAATAGAGCAGCTGATGTCAGCAGTGGAGTTCCTCTTCCTCTGTAGAGACAATACCTTTACTCAAGAGAACAAAGACAAACACTTTCTGTGGGATTTTTTCCCCTCAGATTTTGAAAGGGCTTTTTTTATAAATCCCATCTCTTAGTATTATAAGGCTTCTTCCAGATTTATTTCATCTTCTGCATGTGAGAAGCCTAACTCTTCTATCTTCTCTTAATAACCCCACATTGAGAGATTCAGATCTGCTCCAGAAAGACTGTTTGCATGCTTTCCCTTTGAATACAACACTGACTGACTGACTTAAGTTTATTTCAGTCGAATGACAATTTCCCCAGGTTATTTTGAAATATTGGAAAGCCACAGTTATTCTTAGAGAATCACAGAGTAATAGAATGGTTTGGGCTGGAAGGTACCTTCCAGATCTCACTCCAACCCCCTGCCATGGGTTGGCACACCTTCCACTAAACCAGGTTGCTGAAGGTTTTATCCCACCTGACCCTGAACACTTCCAGGGAGCAGTCATCCACAACTTCTCTGTGCAACCTGGTCCAGTGCCTCACTACTCCCACAGTAAAGAATTTTGTCCTAATGTCCAGTCTAAACCTGCCCTCTTCCAGCTGAAAGCCATTCCCCCTTGTCCTGTCAACATGTCCTCGTACAAAACTCCTCTCCAGGTCTCCTACAGCCCCCTCCAGGTACTGAAAGGCTTCTGTAATGTCTCTCAGAACCTTCCCTTGCCCAGACCGAACAATTCAATTTCCTTTGCTTTACAGGCATATTTTAGCACCTAGTTTTTGTGCTTGTTCATCTTCTTCCTGGATGCACCATTTGGCAACAATTTAAACACTGAGGTACTCCTGTTAAGCTCAAGAACTTCAGGATGTGAGAAAATAAGCATTTTGCATAAGCTTACTCTTGGAATTACTGCAGTTTTTGTTTGACAGCTTTTATTAGCATCATCTCTAGCAAGGAGAGTAGAGGAAGTTTACTTGATTTCAGCAGCATCTTTTATTCTGGAGTGTCACTCTGTACAGGGGGATAAAACTACAGATATAAAGTAAGATATTTCTTACATGATGCAACTTACACTGCCTCAGAAAATCCTCTATAATCCTTATATTCATACCAAGACCCAGCAGGTCTGTTCTATGGAAGAGCTGCAGTTTTAGATGGGTTGCTCTGAAGTTATACTTGAAGGATTAGTAGATTGAGATGATACCTTGTCTTCACACCTGAGCAGCACACATATGTATATAGTAGTAAAATAAAGCTTTTATTTTAGTTTGGGCAAATGCTTATGAATACATCTTCATCATGGACTTCAAGAGACAAAATGTCTTATCAATGTATATACAGGTTAGTGAGCATTTTTTAAACACCACATGAGGTAAGCTGTTATTACCCCCATCATGTTCTTCGGATTCTTAATGTCCCATAGCTGATCTGTCAGACTGAATAACTCCAGATCACCTGAAAAATTTGTCAAGTACTCATCTCAGATATCCTTAGTGCTCAAGCTCAGTCAATCTAAGGAGGAGTTGGGAAAAAGAAAAGACATATGCCTGGTGTTTTCCAGTTCCACAGCCCTATGCACATATTTTCAGTTTCATACTGCCTTTGAGAGCACATCTGCACTTTGGAAAGTACTGCTGATTCTTAAAGACTAGCAGTCACATCACCTGTGAGAAAAATAAAAGGGAGCACCAAAGTTTTTTAAAAGTAGGTGTTCAAAGTCAACACCCTCTGCCAGAAAGACACAAGTCAGACTGTCACTGCTAGGAATACCAGGCTCCAGGGAAGAGTTTACATGTGACCACAGAGCAGGCAATACACAGTTCACTGTGTTCTTCAAGCTCAGACAGAACCCCCAGCCTTCTCAAGAAGCACAGACAACTCTTACATCTAGATTCATGAAGTCGCTCCATCTGGAAAGGGGAGAAAGCATAGAGATTTCAAGCCAGCAAAGCTGTAAAGCCAAGATCTCTAAGGGCACTGAATAATGCAAGAGAACAGGAGTCAATACTTTTTCTTCCTTTAACACTGGGCCTGTGAAGGTGCCTTGTCACCAACACACAATTCAGGAATCTTCAAAACAGGACCTCCATAACCTTTCTGTAGAGGAAGATTTGTCAAATCTCAAGTTAATTCAAACATTGAAGAGTTATTGTTTCCTCTAGATTTCATATTCAGTAAGTTCTTTACAACACTTTAAAGCTCCACCAAATCAAACAAACAAAAAATCCCAAAAAAGCCAACAAGGAAAAAACTACACATTTTTCTGTGGAACTTTCAAAACAGCTACAAAAAATTGAATAATAACTCAATAACCAAAAAAAACTGGACTTAGCTACTTCTTCTCTCAACCCATCCAGCAGAAGCATGCAATCGCCATCTCTGAGATCCAAACTTAGGGCTTTCTATCAGTTTCAAATGGCCATGAAAAGCTAAGGAATTAGACACCAAAAGAGGCAAGTTCCCATTGATTGAAGTGAAAGCAGAAACAATGTCAACAAACCCCAAAAATCCTTAAAATATACTTCAAAGGTTAGGGTGCGACCTTAAGAGATAGATCCAGATCTCAGAAGTGAAGGAGAGCAGGAAGGGGTGTACACCTCTGAAAGCAAAGTAAACTCATTTTGCTCAGGTAGGCAGTGATCCACAGTATTGACACAGGTATGCTTATCTGCTGTCCCACAGCCACGAGCACTAAACACTGGGGTTAGTGCAGCGCTATGTTCCTAAGCTTCGAATTCTCAGTCGCTGCTCCCGCCCCTGGCTCTCCCCACAACTGACGGCAGGAAGGGCAACTTCCAAAACAACGGCGTTCCTAATCTCTGCATCTTAACCGTAGGCAGAATTTGCGCTGCACAATTATATTTCTAACCACAGAGCTCATGATCCGCAACAGCGAGACCCAGTGTTTCCCCCACCCCTCCATGCCAGTAGTGTTCGATACTGTTTCACCTCGCGTGGCTTCGCTTGCAACACGCTGCAACTCTTTCCCCAGCAACCCAACACCCACGGCGAGGAGCGTGAGGTGGCACTGCCACAAATTCAGCGGGAGGGGAAGGAAAAGCACAAACGGGGGCAGCGCTATCCCGCCGCCGGTTACAGACCGGAGAGCCGCCGGTGCGGAGCAGCCCAGCGCCGGGGCTCCACAGCGGGGGTCCCAGCGCCGGGCCCACAGCAGCCCCCGCCCCACGGAGGGCGGCTGGCACCCACCTGCACGGCGGGGAAGGCGCCCTTCAGCAGGTAGAACATCCTGCGGTTGGAGAGGAGGTCGCCGGTGGTCAGCTGCTCCTCGGCCCCCTCCCGCGTCTTCCCCTTCGCCTTGGCGTTGAGGACGTTCCCCTCGCGGACCCGCTTCACCTCCTCCCCGCCCCTGACGGCGGCCAGCACGGACACGGCCAGCAGCTCCCGCAGGTCCACGGCGCCGCCGGGCGCAGAGCCGTGGGGTGTCTCGGGCCCGCCGGCCGCCGGCTCGCTCAGCATGAAGAAGGCGAAGCGGCCGGCCAGGAAGCCGGAGTAGAGGTGGTAGAGGACGCCCAGCCCCAGCAGGCAGAACACTGCCATGCCGAGCGGCGACAGGCGGATGCCCATGGGGGCCATGGCCGCGGGGCGGGCGGGTGGCGGGGCCGGGCAGTCACCACAGTCCCATGGCACGGTCGGGGCGCTCTGCTCCGCTGCAGCGGCGCGGGGCCGGCTCCACGCTCGCGGCCGGGAGGCAGCGCCGTCTGTATCCGGGTCAGGCGGAGGCGGAGCCCGCCGCGCGCACTGGGCATGTCCCGCTGCCCCGCGGCCGCCGCTCTCCCGGGCCCTGCGACTCCCGGCGGGAGCCTGAGGGGTTCTGCCGCTACCTGCAGGGCTCAGCCATGGCAGCGCACGCCGGCCATCGCCCGCCGGCTCTCCTGAGCTCTGTGGTTTGGGGTGGTTTTCTCCTCATCTCCCTCTCTGCAGCAGATGCGCCAGGAGCCCGCAGCGGCGGGGCCGAGGGAACTGCTCCGCCCGCGGGGCAGCACCCAGAGCCCGAGCCCGAGCCGAAGGCGCCCGGCACGCTGGGAAGGAGTTTTCTGATGAAAGTTGCTGTTGGCATAAATTGCCGCTAAATTTCTGAATGTCACTGTTAGCGGTGTTGAGCGTCACTGCTGAGAAATTCTTGTTTCTGTCATGGTGGTTCGGGGAGTTTGGGACTCTCTACCCCCCTGTTCCTCGAAAAATTCATCTCATTCAGTAAAATGAAGCAAATCCAACTGTTTCCTCAGCCAAGTGATGTGATAAAAGCCTACCTGTCTTAATTTATACTTTTCCTTTGCACCTCAGTTGCTTTGGGGGAGTGTGAAACTTCATAGCCGGGATGGACATCTGGGGTGGGAACTAGGAGTCTCTGATTTCTTACTGTTCTCATTTCTGATTCCTTTTATTAGTTTTTATTAGTTTTTAGTAAATTACAAACATAATAACTGTGTTAATTCAGCATTGTTTGAATGCTTTTTATTTGAGCAGTGTTCTTGTCTGTTGATACACGTTATAGAAGCAGATCTTAGCAGTAACTGTGGGAAGAAGTAATTATTAGGGATCATGCATTATAACTGGGTTTTGGGCATTTTTTTTTTAAGTGTTAAACTTACATAATCAAGAATGCAAAAGCTATAAAGACCAAAACTGAGACCAGTCTTGCAAACTGAAGTTGCTCTACAGTCTCCTCTGCATTTCCATTTTAATGGCATCTGCATGTACATGGTTACATATCCAGTGTCCTGCAGGATTGCACCCTCCCTGAAGTGCAAATGTATGTGAAGGGAGTGAAAGTTAAAGGATGATGGAATGAGAAAGCATTTAATTTGAATTCAGGAGTTGGGTTTTTCTCCAACTATGCTGAGGTTAAACTTTATGTGCTATTAGTGTGCTATTAGAACATCCACGTTTTCCAGCTTCCCATTCCTTTTAAGGTGCAAATTGTTGATTATATTGTTTGGTTTTTTTCTCTGCAGTTGCTTCTCTGGCAGAATGGGAGCTTGAAAGGATTCACTGATAATTTTCTTTAACATTGATTTTCAGTTCAACATTTTGTATAATAATTAATGATAAGAAGCTGTGCAGCAATACAGGGTTGATCTTAGGGTAGATTTGTGTCAATAATGAGCAAAATAGCTAGGCATCAAATGCTGCCTGATGCTATCAGTAACAGTTTTTGTGTGTTTGTGTGTGTGTGGGTGTGTTCAGTAAACAGGAATTTTAAACTCCATCATGAGGAAGGAAACCCAGAAGGAAGAAAACCTGCAACTTTATGAACTGGTTTGTTAATGAAAAGAAAGTGAAATACTAGGCTTTTTGTCCCACTAAGTTTGCAAAGACCTTACAGAGGTGTAGAAAATTAATGGATTTATTACTTGCTGCTTACATTTTTATGCCTGCAGTAAATGTAGAAAATATTAACAGTAATGTAGACTGTGAAGAAGATGGTGGACAAAGGGCTCCTTATTTCTGTGATACTGTATGTACCATCTGTGCCAGGTTTTAGAAGAGACTGTTCATTACTGAATGCAATCACACAGCCAGACACACAATCAGACAGTATGCTGTCAGCCTGTTTCTCTGTTGCAACCTTACTCTGTAATTACCAATATCATAAAGGTTGCAGTCTGGCATTTTCCATGTTGTTTTCCCAAGATCCCTAAATCAGGTTCCTCATGTTTATCCAAGGTGCTATTGGCTTCACCTGGACTCCAGAACACCCCAGAGATCTTTGCAAAGTGCCATTGGCAGATAGTATAACATAGTTTAGGCAAGGTTTCTTTATTGCTTCAGCCTATAAGATGGGTTTCCAGAGACCATGGTGTAGGCATAAAATGAAGTTAAGTCAGCTTGTGAAAAAGATCTGTGTTATCAGCAAAAGCAGATTTATCCCTTTACATGAGGGCTAAGGAAAAATTATAATGGAAATGTTCCTTTTGAAAATGGGGAGTGTGCTAGAGCACAGGGAGTTTGGTGTCTCTGGCTTTTAAAGCCTATGGCAAGAATGCATGACATAGTGAGTCCCATCCTTGTCCAGGATAGCAGTGTTTTGTCAACAGTACTTTACAGTGCAGTACATTGTCATGCCTGCTTTGCCAGCATCATTGCTGACTCGTGGAAAAGCAGGCAATGCCCACATCTTCCACAGCTCCAGCCACACAAGCAGGTTAACAGGGTGTGTCAGCAGCTGCAGAAGTGCTGTGCTGCAGCAGTTTTTGTTTCTCTGTGACTCTGGCAGGTTATGAAACCATTCGTGGGCAACCTTCCTGAGTACTCAGTTTTTGTGTCAGCAGTTGCAGTGTGTCTGTGGAAAAGACAAGGAGTCCCTCAGGTTCAGAGCTGAGTTTGGTCTGCAGCACATGAAAATGATCTGCTATGTCTGTGCTTCCAAAAGGCTGAGAGAGAGCAGATGGCTGTTGGATCGTACCAAAGGACCTGAGGGGAACCTGCTGTGGAAGTGCCAGCACCAGCTGCAGCCACTATATTTCCCTGTCAGTGCTGGAAAGGTAGTGCATGACAGAGTCCCATACGAGGCCTTTCACAGCGAGGGATAGCTTTCCTTTGCATAGGGCATTTGACTGGAGCAGTGTGTGTGTATGGGCAGCTGTGCATAGATGTAGTTTGGTTTACGCAATCGGGTTCTTCCTTATTTCTCTCTCTCTTCTCATATTTCCTGTTCTTTTCTGGTTATTTTGTTTGTGATACCACCTCATCCAGTCCTGCTTGCACCAGAAGTGGCAGTTATGGATAGCTCATTCTTATATCCTGTCTGACCATGCTGGGCTGAGAGCCTTGGGGTGGTTGTGCAAGGACATACCAAACCTAAGGGTATTATTAAAGCCTTTATTTAATGTAAAATAAAACGTTATTTTACGTAAAATAAAAGCAGAATGTTACAAAATGTGTGCAGCATGAAGGTGGACCAGACAAGGCAAAAAAAGGTGGATGAATGTCTCTATTTTAGAGTGCATCCCAGTGAAGAGTTCCTAGGTACCTATAGTCCAGCTTTTCTCAAAGGTTTCCTCCCCATCGTGTGGTCCTTTGTCATGGATGCTTCCTTGTTCTTTGTGGAGAAAGGATGGCTCCAGATAGACCTGAAGGCTAGGCTGCCATTCAGTGGAATTTTGATCGGCTGGGAAGTTGGACAGAGAGAAACACAATTCAACAAGGGCAGGTGTAGGGTCCTGCACCTGAGGAGGAATAACCCCAGGACAGGCTGGAGCTGACCTATTGGAGAGCTGCTCTGCAGAGAACTGGGAGTCTTAATAGATGCAAGCTGACCATGAGCCAGCCAGCAGCGCCCTTGCGGCCAGGAGGACAAATAATATCCTGGTGCATTGGGATAAGTGTGGCCAGCAGATCAACAGAGGTGATCCTCCCCCTCTACTGGGCCCTAGTGAGGCCACACCTGGAGTACTGTGTTCAGTTCTGGTCTCCAAAGTTCAGGAAAAAGGAGCGACTGGGGACAGTACATTGGAGGTCCACAAACATGATTACAGATTTGGAGCATCTCTCAGATGAGGAGAGACTTCAGGAGCTGGGCCTGTTTAGTCTAGAAAGGAGAAGACTGAGAAGGGATCTCATTAACATATAGAAGTATCCCAAAAGTGGGTGACAAGAGGGTGGTGCCAGACTCTTTCTAGTGTGCCCAGTGACAGGACAAGGAGCAGTGGCCATAAATTTAAACACACAAAGTTACACTTTGACTTTTTTGCACTGGGGGTGGCAGAGCAGTGGAACAAGCTGCCCAGGGAGGTTGTGAAATCTCCCTTTCTTGGAGACATTCACTCACTTGGACTTGTGCCTGTGTTACCTGCTCGAGGTGACTGCCTTGGCAGAAGGGGCTGGAATAGATGTTCTCTAGAGGTCTGTTCCAACCCTAACAAGTGTGTGATTCTGTAAAATATAAATATAGGAATGGGCTATAATCTGCAATCCAGGTGGGAATTACATCTGTATTCCTCACTAGGGCAAGATCCAGGTCCTGGAGCTTACAGCAGGTCACACTGCCAGAGCTCTCATGGGTATACATGGTCCCCTGGTATGAGCTGTGCAGAGCTTGTTTCCTGCCTTCCTCCAGGTCAGCTTAGCATGGTTACTGAGGTATTCTGCCAGCAGCCATGCAGCCAATGCTCCTCACTGTCTGATTGTCAGGAGAGACTGCTTTGCCCTCCTGCCTACTCGTTCTCATGAGTTTCTCAGTGCACTAAGCTGTTTCCAGGGAATGCTGCTTACAGCAAGTCTGGCTCTGTGCCAGGCTTGGTTCTAGCTTCGTGGCAATGCCAAGATTATAGAATGCAATACCTATGATACAGGAGAAAGCCTAAGGGAAAATGGAAGAACCTGATCCAGGAAAGGGCATCCAAGGTGAAAACAGATGCAAAGTGTGATGGGAAGAGAGCTGTCTATGGTGAGGCTCTGGAAAGGAGCGTGGTCCAAGCCTGGATTTGCAGAACAGCAGCTGCAGCCAGGTGCTGTAAGCTCAGGAATCAAGGAGTGGAAAGTGACCTAAAAGGACCTGTGGGGTGGTCTGGGGAATTCTGATACAGGAAACTTCTGCTTGATCTGATAGAAAAACAGTTAGGGAAAATGTTTGGCACAAATTTTATTGGACACAGG